AGAATTATTAAAACATTATTTATAAATTCCACGTCAGCGCCAATAGTGTTATGTCAGTGTTGGCCAGCTAAAATTGGACAGATGGACTAAACTTGCACAAATGCAAAAGGTTCAACACTCATTGGCAAATAAAAAAAAAGGTTTATGACTAAATTGACACAATTGTACTAAATTTAGTTGTAATTCGCCCAACATTATTGTATTTGTCTTTGTTAACCTTCACTGAACGTGCAAAAAATTAGAAGTCAAGTCAAAGAAAGCTTTTCTTTAGTTAAGAAATACAGAGAGAGAGAGACCCACCAATTAGGGATTGGTAGAGGAAGGCTATAGAAAGTTTGTAAAGAGGGCAAGAGAGAAGCGCAATTTTTTTACCATAAGAGAACAAAAGCATGTTCACTTGCATAGACTCAGATCCATTATGATCGAGGTCATCGCGTGGACCTTACATTGAGCTGCATATGAATTTGGTATTTGTTCCATGTGAGTTCAATAGTTTAAGCGCACTGGCCCTTACATATTCCCTTGAAAAGACACAATTGCAGGGGAGTAACAATGAGGAGAGAGAGAATCAAATGGAAGGATTAACAAATAGAGAGCATATGTCTAGGAAGGCGATAAAAGAATGCCATAATCTGCACTACAATCATATGAACTTGACATAATGTATGTAGAATGACTAAAGCTATAAAAGTCGTCCATTTTATATTGCAATATCTAAAGAGTCTTGGAGAATCTATTTTATTGTTTCCCACCGACACGACCATGTGACTTTACTTCTTTTGTTACTTTTCGCGAAAGGAGGAGCAACATCGGGCAGAAGAGCCGGTACATATAAATGCCTCGTGCGCACATGCGTCTTCCCGCCTCGAATTTCGTAGAAGAACAATCAATTAATAATAATCCTAACCTCCGATACCAATTTATAACACGAATACGGAACGAAAGAGTTTGAGTAACAAATAAGTACATAAATACAATTTGAACACAATGGACTTACGTGATTTGACTATATGCCTAATCTATGAGGGAGATCGATGAGATGAACATATTATCATCGTAAAATATGATATTACAACTACTCATTTACATTCACTCATAAGAGTTTCTCAATCTTAAATTAAACTTGAACCCGCAAGAAAAGAAAAAAAAGTTCTCTCTTACTCTCGATTCTCATGAATGACGATGACTCTCAATACTCTCTAAGCCTCTCACCAGTTTTATACATATTACGCATGCTAACTATGCATACCAAACCAAACTCAATGACAATAATGGTTACACGTTTGCATGCCTTTTTTGAAAGGCTATGCTAGCATAATTGTCTCTAGGCTATCGTGAGAGTAATATCACAGTGTGAGCCATAAATTCTGGAGTGAACCCCACAATAATTTTTAATTACTTATTATTTGTATTTTTTTTATATCAAAACAAGCTGTTAATATCACGGTAGATTTAAGACTATTACATAAACATTTCTCTTTTTTTGGATTCCCATGACAATGGTGAACTTATAAGTTGAGGTCGTCTTAAAGATATCCGTTTTGTTTCTTCTTTTTTTTTAAGAAAAACAATCTCGTGTTCACGACCTATTCGTATATTATATCTTCTCGCACTATAAATGTTCCAGCCTGTTTTCTTCATCTTGACTTTTCATCCTTGGAAAGAGTCTCACTCGGGGCACTATAAAATGCATGAAATGAAACCGCTACATTGCGAACTAGTGCAACCAAAACTTGCTTTGTTATTTCTCTTCCTCAGTCACTACGTCTAGCCTATCATTCCCTTCCCAATTCCCACGCCATGGCCTTAACCCTAACCAAGCTCCTTCTCTTCTCATTCGTTATTTCTTCCACCGTACTCACCGCAAAATCCAAACTCCTAACCTCCAACCTTGAGAAGCTCATTCGACGTCTACGTGCATGACCAAAACGCCGGGAGCAACGCCACCACCATAAACGTAGCCCAGGCGTCAACGACCAATTAGTCCGCCACGTCATTCGGTCTAGTAGGGATTTTTGACGATGCATTGACTGTGGGCCCCAAGATGAGCTCAAAGAACTTGGGTAGGCTCCAAGGCATGGTGGCATTTGCATCCCGAACGGAGGTGGCCGTGTTGATGTCCATGAACTTCGTGTTCACGGAGGGAAAGTACAATGGGAGCAGTTTGACCGTTGCGGGAAGGAACTTGTTGTTCTCGAAGGTGAGAGAAATGCCAATCGTGGGTGGAACTGGTCTATTCCGGTTGGCCCGGGGTTATGTTCAGACCAGCACTTACTTGTTCGACCCGAACACTGGACTCCTCGTTCTTGTGAATGATTGCTCTGTGTACCACTATTGACAGTTTCGCTAGGTTAAGCTTGGGAGTTGTCTTTGTTTGAATCAATAACAATAAAAACATAATTAAACTCTCAGGGAGAGAGCATGAAAAGGTTTCATGAGAAGTTTGGAAGAGTTTCTTATAATTCTGTCGACAGTGCATGATTGGAAACCGTTCCAGCTATCTTGTTACTGAGTGTTTTGTTGTTAACAAGCGAGCTCTCCATTTATTCTCCAACATAGGATGAGGTTACGTAATACCGTTATTTATAGCAGTGCAAGAAATGACATAAGAGTAATTGGAGCCCACCTGATTATATTTCGTAAGTGATAAGACATTGCACAACGATAGCACAACAAAACGGGACACACTAGAGCAAGTTGCAAATGAAGACCACACGCATAAAATTTGTGATCTACGAGATGAAATTTCATTCATCCAATCCATCATAAAGTGACGTTTATAACTGAAGTATTAAAAGTTGTGATTTGTTCAGAAACCAACTGAGGTAAGGAGAAGTGGATCTTTGTACATAATTTAAATTTACGAAACTTTGCACCTACACCGTCGCAAGAAATTCATCGTATCATGTACGTAGGGTCGCGAGCCAATGGGTCACATAGGCCCCGTGATCTACGGACGTGTGTGATGATTTGACTGGTAAAGATTGAAATAATACATTTATCATCATAATGTTCACCGGCATCGTGACCAACTTTATACACAGCTTATATACACTGGGAAACAATATCATCTTGACCATAACATTAAATATATATATATATATATATAGTTTAGTGCTGTGAGTATGTTCGTGTTAATCAACATGATTGATTAATTCTTTATTGTAAGTTGAATTTGTAATTAAAGCAAATACTCGCCAAATTATCAATGTTGCTCAATATTCTCTTTGCAATCCATGGCTAATGCATATCCAATGAAGAATTTTTACCTTGGAAAATCAGATAAACGAGTCATGCCGATCTCAAATTATATTGTGTGACCTAGATGGATTCGTCTCTTTCATCAAAATGAAAGAGCAGGCCGATGGATTGAGTTTCTTCATCAGCCGAGTTGTCAAGCCGATCTATTCAATCTGAACTTAGAAAACATTGACAGGGTTTTATTCATGTTTCATCCAGAGTCTATCCAAGACTACTGGTACTTCTAGTGGTGACTTGGTAGAAGATATTCAAGAGAAAAATAACTTTACATTTTTGTTCTTGTTTCAGGAAAAGATCAAGGGGGCATATCCAAGTTTAATAAGCCAATTTCCGTATCTCTTGATGCAATTCTGGAATTCGGTTCTTGCGATATTGTCGAATGGTATGACCGACTTATTTCACTAATCATTGGAGAGAACAAAGACATTTTTGCCTTATGACGGTATGACCTAGCTTGATGTATGGTTCACAACCATAATTTCACTAACTTTGCGAGTAAAGCACGTGTCTGTTTATTAAAAGCATCTTTGATTAATCTCTACATTACAACTAGTGCATATAACAATCACCCATGTTAGCATTGACTTTCTCGATGTATACTACACTTTGCTTTAAGATATTGCTAGTGATATGAAAGCATACATGCATAAAATGCAAGAACAATATATAGCGCACGGTATTATTTTTCATGAATGTGTCACGTTCAAGTAACCTACAAGAGGTCCATCGCATTACTTCATTACTAAAAAATTTCTGAAACTATCACTCTACAGCTACTGTACAACTAACATTATTCTCTTTTGATTTTTTAAGCTCTCGCCAAAAGTTAGCATGTCAATGAAAGCTTCTTTATAGTTAGAAAAATGGGATAAGTGTACTAAAAGTTCTAAAATTTGTCACGAAAGTATAATTAAGTCCTAAAACTTGTTAAATTGATACAATCGATTCCTTCTGTTAATTCCATCCAACTTGGCTAACAGAAAATGCTGACATGGCCTTTTTATTTTCTTTATCTATCCTATGTGGTGGTGATATAGCTAAAACGTTGTCATTTTAGTCCAAATCTAATTCTTTACAGAAATTTTATTTAAATTAAATTAAAAATAAGCTAAATTTATAAAAAAGAAAAAGAACTCTCTCTGTCTCTCCAACTACCACGTATTGGCCACGCTCATCGCATGGCCTCTCACCAATCGTGTTCGATGTGACCTCACGAACGAGAGAGAGACGTAAACCACCCACCAATCGGGGGCTGGTTGTGCAACGCTTTAGAAAGTTTGTAGAGAGAGGGAGAGAAGTGATTTTTTACCCTAAGAGAAAAGAAGAACTTGCCTAAACTCGATCCAAGTCAGATTTTTATGTGGATCTCACATTGGATTGCATATGGATCCCACGTCTGATCCACACGTGAGTCCCTTGGAATTCGATGGCTTGACTATGCGCGGTCTGTGAATATAGATCCAGTATAAGAACTTCCCCACGAGAAGATACATTTGCAAGTGAGAAAGAGAATCGAAACGAAAATAAATTAACAAATAGAGAGCATATGTCTTGGATGGGAACATGACATAATATATATACGGAACGACTTTCGTATAACATCATCAGTCATTTTCGTAGTCAGGTAAAGGCTGAAGTACACATTACCGATACTCTCAGCAGTGTTTCCCACCGGATAGACCTTGTGACTTTACTTCTTTTGTTATTTTTCGCAAATGATGGAGCAACATTGGGACCCAAATGCCGCTACTAGTAGATGCATCGTGCGCACATGTATCTTAGAACTCTTCTTACCAATTTGGTCTTTATTTAGTGGTTTTTGGGACACTTGCCTATAGATAAATAATGTCAACGCGAGCACCTTGCTATATAGCTAGTTCCATTATTTCATTTTCCATCACCAAACACTCTGCCACGTATAATTTCTTCCTTCCCTTTGCTCAATTATGGCCGCATCATTCCAAACAAAGCTGCTCATCATTCTCTTGGCGTTAGTACTCTCCTCCTCCGCCACGAAAGCCCAGGAACTTGAGGTCTCCGAACCGCTCAGCCTTGGGCGCGAGAAACTAACCCGCTTCCGCATCTATGTGCACGAGATATCCGACGGGAGCAATGCCACTGTCGTGTACGCTGCCCACGGGAATGCGACCAACCTGGTCTTCGGCACCGTCTCGGTGTTCAACGATATCCTGGCCCTCGGACCCGAAGTGGACTCAAAGGTCATCGGCCGGGCCCAAGCCCTCTCCGGCCTTGCCTCACAGACCGAGTTCGCTCTGACGATGGTCCTGAACTTCGTGTTCACCGATGGCAAGTTCAACGGGAGCGTACTGACCATAGCGGGGAGGAATGACTTGAATCTCAAGGTCAGGGAGCTGCCGATCGTGGGGGGGATGGGAGCTTTCCGGTTCGCTCGGGGCTATGTTCGTACGAGCACGATTGCCGTCAGCCAAATCCATAAGACCGTGGTGGCGGAGTACAACGTGTCTGTCTTGCATTATTGACGTTTAGGTTCGTTCAAGTTGAAAAGAGCTCTGCTTTTGCTTTGTTTTGGTTCTTGTGATGAAATAATGGGGCAGCCTCTCGGTGATCATTTGGATGCTCGGTATCATTTGTGTCTTTTTGAGTACATGTAATGGATAATATGGCAATTCATTCTCGCAGTTTCCAATTTAAAACGTCCGTTTATCGATTCAAACTTTTTTATCTTATTCTTCTCTGTTGTTTTTACCCTTGTGATTATTTTGTAGTTTTTGCAATTTGGATCCAAGAAACAAACGTTTTTAAATTGAGTAACGGGCAGAAGCGAGAGAAGAAACTGTAAAGTGCGGGCATCACTTTATATCTTCACTTTCTTTCAAATTATTATTTTATTTTTTTGTGTCCAGGTGTCGCAATGTTAATGGTACTTTAGCACAATGACTTGGCACTACTCAACTTCCTAATATTTTCTCGACTTGAAAAGTTTTCACATTAAAGCAATAGTAAAGAGTAGCTGTTGTTCTCCCATCACAGCTTTAAATATTATGAAAAAAATGATGCTGAATCTATGTGCTAATATTTATATACTGCGAAACTTTCAAAGTTTTCAAGCCAAGAAAAAGTTAAAGTTCATCCACCGCAAGATCTATATTAAGCAAAATGATAAAGTCCATTTAAACAGGCCCAATCAGTATATTTTTAAGTAAAGTATCCATCAAATCGTGTAGGCCACATTTCAGAGGGCCCATCTCAAAAGTTAAAAGTAATGTAGTAAGTTTCTACAAATCAATACAAGTGACTTTATACACCATCGATTAGAGAGTATATACAAATCGCGAGCGAATAAGGTCGCTTGTGTCAAATTTCCTTTACATTAGTAGTGCATGCTCATTTTTTGATTGTTGACACACCATGGCCATATGCATAACCATATTTTGTTGCATGCCAAAGAGGTCACCTGCCTCCGGCTCAAAGCCCGAACAAATGTCTCGCCACCTCCGTGTGAATGAAAGCTTTTTAGGCACATGAGAGCAAGTATTGCGTCAAAATATATTAGACCAAGTCAATCACATTTCAAGAATTTATGGGTTGGACATTGGGTCTCGTAAAAAACATACAAGTCCCCAAACAGTTTATGTATTGTGTGATCGGCAATGCCCATCACATCATCCATGGACTAATGACCTGTTTCATGACTCCAATAACTGCTGATAACTATTGTAGTTAGTACTTAATAAAATTAAGCAGGTTTGATAACCATAACTAGTTGGACTTAATGATCCAATTAAGTCAAGAAATCACTTAATGCACTTAGTTAGGATGGGGTTACTTATTTAATTCGATATAAAGAGCATTCAAATAGGAAATAAAATATTGCATATTACATTATTAAAGCCTAAAATCTACCGATGATATTCACTATTTAATTTTTGGCCAAAAAAAATTACTCAAACTCAATATGTAGGTTTTTTTACATAATTTATTTTCAGCACTTAAAATGGTCAACACTTAATTTTGAGGCCTAGTATGGGTTTTGTTGACACCTATTTTTAATTTGCCCAAAATTAATTACACAAAATTTAGGAATTAATTTTCTTTAATTCCTAAAACAAAAAAATATTTCTATTTAAATGCATTGCATATAGACGTTAGGCATATGTGCATTAATAGGGCCTATTAGAACATATTTTCTTAAATTTTAAACAAAATTTTTAAAAAATAAAAATAAAAAAATTTCGAGTCGGGCCGGGTCGAAGCTGGGCCGACCCGGCCCATTTCTTTTTTCCTTTTTCCCCCGGGCCCGGCCCTTTTTCTTTTCTTTTTTCCCTTCGCGCGGGCCCGGCCCGCTTTCCTTTTCTTTTCTTCTTTTCCCCCTCGCAGCTGGGCCTGGCCCGGCCCAGCCCTTCTTCCTTCCTTCCTTCCCCCTGCGCCGGTCGCTCTCTCCTCCCCTGTTCTCCCCTGTGCGCGACCGAAGCGTGACGCACGGCGGCGCCGCTCCTCATCGTCGTCATCCGGTCAGAGGAGGCCCAGGCGAGCACGCCACAGGGACTGGCCATTAAGGCCAGTCCCGTCTTCCCCATTTCCCAGGCTCTCTCTCCCTCTCTGCCCCGTCTCTCTGCACCCTCTCTGCACCGGCCCCCCCATCTGCTCTGCTCTGCACCGGCCTGCCATGGCCGCGAAAGTCGCGGGGCAGGTAGGCCGGTGCAGGCCATCGTCACGCGGCCGCCACGGAGAGGGAAGCCATCGTCCGTCGTCCGGCTATAAATAGCCAGAGAGAGAGAGAGAGCCCCGGTCGGCCGTTTTGAACAAAAACAGGGAAAGAGAGAAAAACCGAGAGAAGGAGAGATTGGGTGTGCTTTTTCCCGTTCTTTTGGCTCACGGGTAGGAGAGTACAGTCGCAGGAGTCCCCCTCCGGCGAGCTAGAGCCGCCGGTGATCCGCCGAACCAACGTCGCCGACCGGATCGGATTCCCGGCCATTTGAGAGAGAAAAACAGAGCAGAGAGAGACAGAGAGAGAAAAGAGAGAGAAAGAGTGAGTTTAGAGCGTACCGAGATCACGCCGGAGTACGAGCGAGAACCAGCAGCGTCGCCGTCGCCCCCCCGACCAGTCGGAAGCCTCCCAGACGCGCCGTCGACCGGTGAGTCGTCCCCCGGCCCGAACTGCTCTGTTCTCCCCTGTTTTTGCTCCCGGTTTGTCCGGGACCCACGCCGGCGGTTTCGCGCGAGTCCCGGCCCATACCGCCGTCCCCCACCGTCCGTGCGTCGTCGCCAAAGGTAAGAACAGGTTTCCCGAGGACGGTGGGGCCTCGAAACAGGTCGGAACCTCCTGTTTTTGATCGCGCACGCCCGGTGTTCGACAAAATGCCTCAAAGAGGCCGGTTTTTAATTCGGTCGCTGGCCGGCGACCGGCGGTCGAACGGCGACCCAGGTGGCCGGCGAGGCTTGGTGGCGTTCCCAGAGGCCGGTTTTGGGTCTGCGGAGGTCTGGGTCGGCCGGCGGACGGCCAATTTTGGCCCCGCCGGTGCCCCCGCGTGTCTGTACACGCGGGGTTGACCCGACCCGGGTCAACCGATCCGACCCGGGTCAACGCCCTGAGTCGGATCCGTTGACCCGGGTCGGTTCCGACCCGGACCGGGTTCCGACCCGACCCGAATCAACTGATCCGACCCGGGTCAACCCCCTGGGTCGGATCCGTTGACCCGGGTCGGTTCCGACCCGATCCGGATTGACCGATCTGACCCGAGTCAACGCCCGGGTCGGATCCGTTGACCCGGGTCGATTCCGTTTTTTTATTATTATTTTTATTATTTTTTTAAAAAAAATTTTAAAAAAAATTTAAAAAAAATTTAATTTTTTTCTCCCCTTTTTTATTTAAAAAGGTTTCGTATTTTATTTTTATTATTATTTTTAAAAAAAAATTTTTAAAATTTTTATTTTTATTTTTATTTTTATTTTTATTTTTTATTTTTTATTTTTGATGTGATATATTGTTGTTGTTTTAATCTAATGTGATGTTATTTTGTAAGTTTTTGTCTTGTTTAAATTAGACAAGCCTGAGGTTGCGCGGTAGTATTTTGCATGTTAGTTTTTATTACCGTTGTATTGTTATGCATGTTTTTAATACAATTGCATGAGCTGTTGTGTTTTTGAATGTCATCTGACTTAGTTAAGGTTAGAACCTTAGGCTGCATGAATTGTTGTGTTCTTGACTGCTGATCGTTTCTGATTATGCACTCGCTTGATCACCTCACATGTTAGGAGAAAGGTCCTAAAATCAATCCAAATTGCCTGACAAATGTTTTCAAAAATGAACAGGGTAAAATGGTACCAAAGGGCATTAGTTATCCAACTAGTGTAACCAAGTCCCCGAATTCAGTTAATCTCTGGTTCGCAGGAATAGGGTGATTCTCCCATCACCCTATTTGGGTTTCTAATCGGCCCACCCCAAATCGATTAGTGGCGACTCCTCGATATAAATCACCTGCATGTTAAATACTTAAACCCTAAGTCGCGATATGGTATAGGCTTGGGAGAGCCCGAGTTAAGTCCCGAACCTAGACTTAGCACGTACCAGGCGAGCCCCCTTTTTTTTTGCATGTTCGATAAAAAAGGGCTCGGAAGTTCGGTCGCGACAGGTTTAAAAAATTAAAAATAAAAATTAATAATAGTATAGAAAACAGCAAGTTAATAACTATCATATCTCATTAATTCTGAAAACCCACTTTTATGCATGAGAAATGCTAAATATACAAACATTGATTTACATAATTGGATTACAAAATGATGCGATAGATTTGTATTGATTGCTCAATATCATCCAATTGTTTAAAAATCACTTACAATTTGACCCATCATTTCCTAAGTCAATTTGAATGATGTTGTTAATGCTAAAAATGTTGCACTTTTTCCACTCCTAATTTAGCTAAAACACTCCCTAATAAAGTGTTATGACCATTTCACCCATTATGGTTCCCACCTTTCAGCATCTTAATTGTTCCCTTGGTGTTTTTTTTGTTTTCTTATTTTGCGGGTCCCAATTTCCTTTCATCTTCATCGTTCTCTTTTTCTCTCGACAATTATCTTTCTCTCTCTTGCAACTCCCACTTCTGCGCATTTTGTAAAGCGTGGCCATCCTCTGCGAAGTTGAGGAGGATGCAGAGCGTGAGAATCGGAGAGAGGTAAGGTTGTGAGGCAACCTCCGAGCGGCGATTTCTTGCCGAGGTAGTTATTGTCGCACCTGCATTCACCTCCAAGACGACAACCACATTGCAAGTGCAGGAATCAAATATGTGGGTGAAAAGAAGTCTATTATACAACATAGATGTGCGAGCATAGGGATTGCAACCAATGTGATGTCTAAAAAAACTAAGGCAGATTAGCTACTCACTTTTAGTGGTTTGACCCATTTATATGGGATTTAAGGTTAAAAGCGTGTCTCATAAGCAATTCCATGTAAAGTTTGTATGGTGCTGGTCTAAACTGCCTACATGGAATGATCCTGCACAGAAGACAATAAAGTAGGCCATTTGAAAATTAGGAGAAAAAATGCATGAAAACGAAACAGAATAGATATCCTAGCAATTCATTTTTGTAGAGAAATGTCACCATAATCACCTCCATAAAAGCACATAACTCAGTCGAATGATGTTGTCTCAGTC